CCTTAGAGAGAAGATACAACATTTGCAAACATCAAAAAACGAAATGATCAAATTATCACGAAATATCTTACTGGATTGTTAGGGAATGACAGTCTAAAGCATCCTGTAAAATTGTGGCTCCTGGTGTGCTGACATTTTCGAGAAAAATTGTATTTTTCCAACGCTGGTCGGCAGCCAACCAGAGTGGGAGAAAATTGGCTATTTTAAAAAACTACTCCATATTTCTTATATTTAGTTATTCCACACTTTCTTTGCAAATACAGACCTGTCAACGGGTACAAGCCAGCTAAATTGATACTCTGACCGTACAATTCCCCAAAGTCTGTAAATTGCTCCATTTCATCTTAAGTGGGGTCAGGGAACCAGACTACAAGAACATGATTGGTTTTCCTTGGTTTTTCCAGCATCCACAAGCCCAAAACGTGAGACAAGTCAGTTGAACAATATTTGCTAAAACACAAATCCTACAAATCCATTTATTTCTGAAAATTGCAGCAAAAGCCAACGTTGTGCATTCCCTTTAAAAACAATGCAATTCAATTTGACACACCACCGAATCATAATGATATTAAACAAGCATGTTCTTCAACTCATAAAAAAAAGGAATTCCTGAAATAGATCCATGCTATGAGAAGTTATGCACATTTTACTAAAAGAGCCCGTTTTTAAGAGCTTTCATGTGAATGCCACTTGCACTTGTAGCTATTGAGCTGAGTGAGAACAAGAGATAACACGTACACACAGGCATTCAGATACAAATTAGATTTTTATAGTGTTTGTCTAGACTGAAACATTATTTTTGCTGTCATAATTTTTTGTTTTGAATGTAAGAATTTTTTTCCTGAAATAATGATAGTGATTTTCGACTGTTTTCCTGCATGTGCAAAGTTTCGTTCATTCACGAAGGCAGGAAAACTCATAATAGGTCACTTTCTTTTTGACTCACGCTCATGGGCGTCGCGAGGGAGGGGGAGAGGGCAAGGGGGCGCTTGCCCCCCCCCCCAAAAAAAAGGAAGGAAAAAAAAAGGGGAAAAAAAGGAAAAAGAGGTGCGAAGCCATATTGCTGTTAATTTGATGGAGGGGGGGGGGTAGGGCAAATGTTCCCCCGCCTACGCTCTGAAAATGATAAATTGAGAATATGTGCGAAAAAGTGAAAAATGTCCTCCCCCCCCCCCCCCCCGCCTGCAAAACCCCCTGGCAACGCCCACGCTCACCCTGTATAGTACGGACCAATTAAGAGACAGGAAACAACCATATTACAAAAGCACTATAAATGAAAAATGACCATCTCGTTTTGATTTTCTGTTCATATCAAAATTCTGTCCCAAAAGGTCATTAGTGAATTTTAACGCTTCAAGGTTGAGTATATTATTTTGCAGCTATCCAAAAAGTAACTGACCGAATTATTGTTGAAAAGCAAACTTGGTTTAAATATAGTAATGTAAACTCCCCGTGAAATTAATCTTTCTGGCATGCTGTCATTTTGAAGAAAAAAAAACAATCAAAGAAGGTCATTTCCTAAGAAACGCATTTTGGAAATTTTCGTTGGTAATTTGTTTTTAATTCGGCGAAGCCGTGAATAGTTGCGTGCGGGGTCGCTACAATTCATCAGTTCAGTGTGTGACATCGCGTAGCTCCAATAAGCCTAGGTACTGATGACGTCACACTTTGTTTACATGTGCACTCTCCTATGGAGCCAGTGGGGGCCCACGGTCCACTGAGCACCATAGGAGAGCATACACGTAAACAAAGTGTGACGTCATCAGTACAGAGGCTAATTGGCTGAATGAGAACTTGTCCCGGACGCTGATTTTGGACGCAATTCAACTTTTGATTTGAAAACGAGATCCTAGAATATTGCTTTCTTGGAATAGGCAGCAAACATTGAGTTAAAACATCATCAGGTTTAGGGCATCTGTCTTTAGATTTTAAACACTTTTGTTGCTTCAAATGAACATAATGCACAAATTAAAATGATGTACTCTACCTTTCATTTCATATAACCGCCGCGATTGCATTGAAAGATATCTACCTTTATGTGCATGATTGCACATCGTACACAAATTAAAACATATGTTTAACCTACTTCACCAAACGCTGCACAACTTTACACTTGCTTGACACCTGGATTTTACGAGTGGTCTCATGCACGCGTAGAAGGATATCACCTTTACATTTCTCGGCTGAGGTACATGTAATGTTACATATACCTCAAAAATACATGCGACATGTCAAGCATGTTCAAAGCCGCAATCGTTTAAGCCGAAGACACTAACACCACTCTATCGCCATATTATGACGAACGTGCATAATTGGCGCGTGTGATTCCCTTGACACGATTTTGGTATTAAGCTGCCACGAACGGTACAAGTGCCGCTGTGAAGGCATTGAAAAGATGCCAATAATAATAGCAATGCTTGGGAATGTTTATTTCTGTGAGAGCCAGAGTGAAGACAATTTACCTTCCAGTAACTCCCTAAGGGCAGACAAAAGCTAATTTGAGTCACGCTGCAACCGTCATAGCTTCCCAAAATGTAAACCTGAGGGCCTGCATTGTTTTCACATCTATGCCCGACCAATTTTCGTCGTACGTGACGGATATTGGCTAATGGGCGCTGCCCCGTGTGTGTGCACGCACATGGTGTGCGCAAAGTGCATTTCAATAATTTGTTTACCAAAGTACATCGGCCGAGAGACTAAAATTGCGCAATTTCACCTGAACATCAATTTCAGTGATATTCTCGTTAGAGGCTAGTAATATAGAGAGGCCAGTAATAGGGACGTATCCGAAGGGAAGGGGTGTACCAACATTTCGTCTCAATCTCACCCCAACTTTTGCCGACCGGAATATTTTTGTAACGACAAGTAGGTAATGATTTAATCAGGGCCGGCACACAAGCCAGTGGAACACACGACCACAATATTTTTGTTAGTATTTGATCGGCCTCCCTTGATCTGGACGGAATTCGTGGCTCTTCAAAACATGCAGTTTTACACTTGATGATCACCATCCTATAACAAATAAATTCGTTATATCAACCCTCACAGAATACTCAGTTGCTACGCGTGAGCACAGCGCGGAAGTGTCTGCCATGAATAACGACGGCTCCCCGCTACCGGCCGTCGTCGGCAGTGCCATAACAAATCGGCCCAGATGGCTGGCAAAATTCAAGATTCCAACGTGTCGAATGTAAACTTTACAATAATAAAGACTCTAATTGAACGAGATAGAAGAATCTGCCAGTATTAATGCGTGTAAAATGTTTGCGAATGTCCAACTACTCCTTAAGATTTATACTTAATGAAAGGAAATATACCATCTGCCTTTTAGTGCACTGTACGGTCTCTTATGTCCAGACCGCCTAAGAGGACCATTTATCAAATCGTTATCGCGGCGAAGTGCCTCAAGTTTCCTTGAGGAAAGAATGAATTTGCACCTCCATCATGGAGAAGTCCTTCCTCCATAGCATGCTCTCATCAAAGATTTAAAATTAAGGGTGAAAGTTTTGAAATTACCATTTTAAAGCACGTGTTTTGTGATTTATCATGTAATCGTGTTTGTGTTGTATTTTATTTTGCTTATAGTGGCAAGAAAATGATATTATATTATAAGAAATAATATTATATTTTAAGAAATTATAAAAATTTATAGTAGTGTACTAGTTTCATATTGTAATTACAACTGTTTTTACTATTTTTGAAATTATCACTTTAAAACATGGGCGTTTTGGGATTTATAAGGTGAACAGTTTTTGTGTTATCACAGGCCCGTAGGCAGGGGGAGGGTTGGATAGGAAGGAGGGGGAGGGGAAGTCAGGGGTCTCCCCCCCCCCCACACACACACACCCACACCCACCCACCCATCTTCGTAATAAACACAGGCAATCGTGGACCCCCAATTGTCCGTAATCCTCATTATTTGTTCTCTTTAACTTTTTAGCAACAGCTCTCATTGGTTTTATACACGAATTCCAATCGTGGACGTTCGGCCAATCGTGGACGTATTGTTTGTGCCCTAACTCTTTTGTTCTAGGTCCGCGATTGCTGGTGTTTACATACTCATGTACACACAAAATGTTGCCCGCAGTTCCACTTTTTTTCCTGTCGCGATTGACATTTGAGATTTACTCAAATGCATATTTCCACGCGTTATCAACTGTGAAAGGGTATGGTAAAAACGACCTTCCACCAAGCCGCGTATTTCCATGTGTCATCAACTGTTTATAGACATGAAAAGCTCCACTTCATAGCAAAAACGACCCTCTCATTCCGCCCACCAGGCTGGCTCAAGCTCAGTCTTACTGTTTATTTTATTGCCAATGGAAGAAAGATTATTCCGGTGTTTTTTTCATTAAGGCGTACCAATAAGCAAGTCGCGCGTGATTGCAATACATCCATACTCGCTATCCCCCTGCCACTTGTAATGGATCTACTTTCGTTATTGATGGCAGCCGTTATTAATGGGAGACCGTACCGCTTCGCGTGATCAACTTGCTTCATGCGAATGATTCCATTTAGGTTATTATTAACAACTTTTACCTTAATAAAAAAAGGCATGTGCATAACCAACGGAGAAAAAGAAGATATGAAGAGGATGGGCTGCAACATAACTCATTGTTCAAAGCACAACCTTGCGGGGGGGGGGGGGGGTGGGGCGCTGTTCAAATCGGACGCTCATGCACTATATCGGACAATATAGTGTGCAAATACCTCCACTTAAATCCCCTGGCTACACGGACAGGCGAACATACCGGTGTAATTATCTTTTTTTGGGGGGGGGGGTCGGAGCGTGGGGAGAGGGGTGGGGTGATCCCCTAAACACCCCCCCCCGGATCCGCGCCAGAAAATTCAGGAGAAACAATTTGGTATTTAGTACCAGACCTTTCTTCCCTTTGAACACAGTTTTCTTCATTAAATCAGTAGTCTATTTCCCGAGTATTAGTATTATTTCCCGAGTGTTCCATATGCCTTCAACCATTTATCCATTTCACATTACACAGGCTTGGAAATTCAACTGGGCAACGCAAACCTCAGTTTGACACGCGACGCATCTTGTTGCGGACCTCCAGCAGCCCAACGCTCTGATTCGCAGTGCCGATGCGATACTTTCTGTTCTGTCTACGGCGACTGCTGTCTTGATTACCCGCTGTTCCGCACCGACGCGGACACGAATGCAACGGTGTCCGGAGCGAGTGCCAACTGCACCGAGGCATGGAGATCGGGAAACCTGACTTCGAGAGAGGGCGGCATGACAGGAGAAGGATGCAAGGTGTGGGAGTCGGACGAAGCAGGGATCGTTAACGAGGTCGTACTAGAGTACCAGTGCCTACTGAAGGCGTTGTGGGAGCCAGTCATTCTTCGGCGCAGCACGACTCGTCGATTTGTCTCAGCTCCGGCCCGCGTCACTAAAAAACAGTACAGAGTCCGGCTACTCCAAGACTGCGGGCCGGACGCTTCGGCTGAGGACGACGAGGCCTGCTTGCGCGACCGTTCTATTGGAAGTATTCAAGACCTCCATGACGTCATATCGCTCCTTCCAGTGACCGCTAGGGACGGTTTACATTACAAGAACTTGTACTGTGCTCGTTGTCATGGTTACGACTCCCGTGACGTCATCTTCTGGTCTCTGCGGCTGTATTGTCGTCCGCATGACCTGGATGTCACCGCCTTCTTCAGCACTAACATATCTGTGGTGGCTGACAACTGTTTGATTTCACACATTGACAAACCAACTGAGATTCCATGGGATCACGCGGAAACTCGCCTCCCAGCCGTTGTGTTATTTCGTTGCGATGATTCGCCTGAGAACGCCTACAACGCGGCCGCATGTCACGCCTACTCTTTGCCCACAAACGACTACCCGAACCCGCACTGTAAAATGTGCATCGGCACCAACGGCACTGCGGGAAACGGCACTATTTCAGATTCAAATGGTCATGAAATGAAGTGTAACGATTGGCTGTGTAACGGTATGGTACGGCCACTCAGTGTGCTATTCGATTTCTCTCCCACGACGGGGACGAGTCTATCCTTACACGGGCAGTCCCCGACGTTCATCGTGCCCGATTGCGAACACGGCCAGGTCTATGATACCTCCACAGGCAGTTGCCGCCCCTTCTACTGTCCGTCGGGACAGACGGTTGCAGATGACGGTTTGACGTGTGCATCGCTAGGGAACCAGACCACGCAGTGTACGAGCAGAGCAGAAATCATGGGCGAGGATGAGGTCGTCATTCTGGAAGTCTCACTCGCGAGTGAAGTGTCCAAGCATGACTCCAGATGGAGTGTCATCGTGAAGCACCTCCGACAGATACTAGATGATCAGATAAAAGAATACAATATGCAAGTAGATTCTTACAGCCGACCAACCTCCGATCATAATTGTTCTCTTGTGACTCCGTACGCGTATACTTTAATCTTCACAAGTCACACGCCTAACACAACCATAAAATCACTTGCTCAGTCCACAGCAGAAGCCCTGGGTGATCAATGCTGGACAATTTCAAACCTAACATTTGCCATTTTGGAGTTGACATTGAAGAATTTCGAGCGTGGTATCCTGACGAACAACTGCGCGAAACGAGGACAGGAAACAGAGGAGCGACCCTTGGAAAACTTTACCGAGTTGACTGTCGACAACGTCCCCTACATTAAAATCATGACAGGCAGCAACGAGACAATGACCTGTCCGTCCCTCGATACCTGTCAAGATCTAACTGTAGGGAGGGAATTCCAAATGAAACAGTCCGTATTTTCGTGCATTACCAAATTGTACTGTCCCATCTTTGTGCTGAATTCAAGCGAGGTAAGCCGAGTCACCGACAACGGAACAACGTTTGCTGTGCACGAAGCTACTGGACGGAACTTCTCCGTAGACGACTTTATTGAGATGACTGGAGGGGATATTGCGGTTTGCCGGTTCCCGCTCCCAACAGATTCCCCGATAGATCATCCCGACCCCAGGCCCACTGAGATTCTATTTTCATTGGTTGGCATCACAGTATCGGAGGTGTTTCTGCTGCTCTCCCTGCTGAACTACTACATGTTTCCGGAACTCAGAAAATTGCCAGGGAAAAACATGATCAGCTTCATCGTGGCCACCTTTTCGCTGCAGATGATTTTCCTTCTCGGTCGAGGATCGCCTCTCTCTCAATACACCCTGACAAGCGAGGCCTCCTGCTTCGCCTTCGCTGTCCTCACCCACTACCTCTTGTTGGCAGTGTTCGTCTGGAGCAACGTGGTCTCTCTTCACTTCGTGCGCACGTTTGGCGGCCGTCTCCGCCCGACGGCTGCCGAGTCGTCGCGGCAGCAACGCCGCACGTTCTTGTTTTACTCCCTGTATGGCTGGGGCGCGCCTGCTGTACTGGTCGGGGCGAGCTGCGCTGTACATTTCACGGCTGACATCAACGGCCTGCTGGAGAACGTCTACGGCAACGACTGCCTGATCTATGGCGGGATACTCTACTTCTTCGCCATTCCGGCTGCTGTTCTGATGGGTCTAAACGTGATGTTCTTTGTTTGGACGGTCGTGGGGATCAAGAGAACGAGACGAGCCGCAAGCTTTGCTAGGAGGGAGAAGGGACGGTTGGAGATGATCAAGATGGATTTCAATCTGTGTATCAAGGTATATTATCAACAAAATGTTCGGAAACCTCAGTATTTAAAGCTGACCGATATGTACATTTTAAAAAAAAATCATGTTTTCTTAGAAATGCTGATTTTAATACGTGAGTGACTCTGAGAGGATAAAAGTAATGCAGCAATTCAGTCACTTGCCCCTTACAGTCACTTGCCCCGAACTCGGAATACGCCTCAATTTTAATGGGCTAGGCGAGAGTGGCCAGCCAAGCAGGTCAGCGGGAAAAGGAAATGGTTGTGTTGTAACAATTTTCATGTTTTCATTCCCATCACAGATTTCAGTGGCCACTGGCATGTTGTGGCTCGTGGTCTTCGTCCTGGGCAGCTTACAAATCCAAGGCTTGTCCTACCTGATAATCATCGACTTCACGCTGCAAGGGCCGCTGGTCTTCTTCGCGTTTGCCTTCACCGGCCGAGTGCGAGGGCTGTGGCGGAAGAAGTTGGGCTCGAGCGCCACCAAGCGGTCACTGCAGCGAGACAGTCAGGACCGTACCACTGGCTCATCATCAGGAGGTACGAGTAGTTCGTTGGAGGGGCTGGTGCGTAGTAACGCTGATACGATTCGATTCTCGCAGTCAGAGTCTGTCAGCAAAGTTGAGAGCACATTCATCAACCCTTTGTACGATATGGTGGATAAGAGAGAGTTTAATGACTCTAAATGCAACATGATACTGTAGGTCCGGCTTTGTAGATTGCACATTTAAAATCCACAGCCTTTGTAGAGGATTTACACTCACAGTACCAGCGTACTCTCTTTTTTTAAACTTGAAATTAATTCCGCATTCCCTGTTGTTTATGAGCATTTTGAATGTGCATGACATTACATCAACGTGACATTGTACTAGCATTTCAGCTTCAGAAAATATAGGCCTACTGGACGTCGTCGGATTTTGAACGGATTTGGTTGACCCCTCCCCCTCCAAAACAACAACAACAACAACAAGAAAACACGATAGCAAAGAAAGCAAGAAGACCTAAAAAAAATATTTTTGCCTTTGAGAATTGTATTTTGAGAATTTAGATGACAGGTTTCAATGTACATAAATTTAATTGTACGCGTACGGTAAATTGTAAATACTTAGTCGGAGTACTTTAACCATTGTATATATTTGAAACACGGTGTTTAATTCCTCTGAAATCGGCAAGTGATGTGTCTGTAATGCATTGTCAATGTCTTTTAGTTTTAGTATAAATTTTGGTGCCATGGTTTGATGTACTAGCCCCACTGTTTAATATCCATAGCAGTTCTAACATTTACAGGGCACTATACAGGCCCTGGTGTAGTATAATTATAACATACCTCTTGCTGATTCTTTATCCTGGTTGGCTGAAACACGGTAACGTGGGGTTCACTAATATAGGCTAGTGCATGATATTTGCGTCGGCGTGAACTAGACGCGCCGGCAAGACATCGCCCGATCGGACACTACACAAAATGTTTGACTGGTAACAGCGCCCTCTGTTCACCTTATTGTTGAATTGCTTATGAGTTAAATGAGACTGAAAGGTTTGCATGGTGGACATGATCAATGAATGGGAGGTTTGCGGTAACACCAGGTGAATGATATCTCTTTGTGAGTTGTGTGGTTCTGAGAAGAACCAGTTGGTTTAACTCCGAGAGACTTGAGTTAATTGTTGAATTAAAACAGTTCAATTATAAGTCCCTGAGAAGTTTATCTTCTATATATTTTGGACAGAGGTGTGTTATAAAACACATATAGTCTGGTATAATTCGGTCACTATAGTGCAGCGGTGCACGTCCCTTGCAACCCTCACTCGGACCTGTGAGTGACCAGAAGAGGGTCCTTCGGCCTCAGGAAATAGGACCCTCTTCTGGTCACTCACAGTCCCTCGGGGCGCATAGACGTGCACTAGTGACCTCATTGCCAGTCTATACGTGATATCATATTAGCCTTTTTGAAATATGATGGACTCAATATTAGGGCATTATTTGGAGTACGTAAGCTCTTTTGTATTCGATTCATACTCAAATTTACCCATTTCAAATAGCGCCCTCCTATTGTGTCCGCCATGCTTTAAGAAGGCTTATTGGCGGGTACGTATGGAGGAGTGCACTATTGGTAATATTTGGTACTCAAATATTCATGCCACAAACATGAGTAGGATATTAGAGTTGTTCCATCTTTAATTGAACTTGGATAAGACATTACTAAAAATGAATATAGATCTTAATAATGCATAATTTGTCATGTTTTCTTAAAAACTGTCTTGAAAAAAAAATAATTTCAATTTGTTTAATGATTCTAAGAGCAACGTCAATCAGTATCTTATTTGAAATGTCAAAACAAGTTGCTTGTAAAAACTGTGTTATTGGACTCGTATCAACCCCACTCCTCCCCCCCCCCAAAAAAAAACCCAGCCTGAATATTCTTATTGTGAAATAAATTGATAATGGTTAGTTGATTAATTGAAAATGGTCAATGCAGAATTTCATACTTACTTCTTCAAAGTACATATCCACATTGTGTCAGAAGTCTTAAATAACCACTCGCAAACTCTTTAAGAGCTCACAAAGATTCATTTGTTTGGACACATCTCAAGCAAAAGCATTCCAGTCCTGTTTCTTCCTTGAAAATTTTGCTGCACTTTCAAACTTCCTACCCGGACCGACAGGCTTTGTCTGTGCCCCATGCACCTCTGGTGCTGCTCTTTTGGACACAAAATGGATTAAAGTTACCAAGCCTACTTGGCTATGTCTGGCAGTAACAAGTGTACATGAGAATTAGTTGCTGCAGCCGCTTCCATAGGCACATGTGAAATGATCTGCCATAGCAATTTGGACGCAGCCTTAGGCCAAAAAAAAAAAGTCTCCGGTTTCTGGTATGGAGCTTGCCCACAAAGTGGTGCGGCGACGCGGCTTTTTTTTTTTTACCTGATTTTTTTGCTTCAAATGTGTGCTGATGACTGCAAATGGTGCCCGACTAAACTTAGTGCAAATATATGGGAGTCCAGAGAGGCCACATAAAGCTTATTCTCGACCATAACCCAATCTAAAAACACGTTAAAATTGTGCAGCAGCAGGATTCCAGTCAAACCAGTGAGTTTGGCGGTTTTGAGACATCATCTTTCATTGAAAAAAAAAACGTTTTCATTTTGCCGACGCGCATGGCTACGGCGACGCGCGCGCATACCAGAAACCGGAGACTTTTTTTTTTGGCCTTAGTGCTCGTGTCGTCCTGGATGGCGCCCTCAAATTATCGATATCCCAAAGGAAAAAACTGTGTAAAACTTAGTTGATTATAATTATACAAAGGGTTCAATTCATCAACAAGATTAAGGGTCGAGGAAATGGGTCCGGGAATTTCTGTTTCTTTTCTTTTCCGCCTGTGTACGGATCGAAGCTTAAAGTATCTCGGAAAGACGTCCTTCCGCTTTCCGAGATACGATATCAGGGAAAAACGTCTTTCCGAGATACGAGATGTCTGAAATGTATCAGTATTCCATTTTTCTGAGATACATTATCAAGGAAACGCAGAAACTTGGATGGTCACTTTAGGCTTCCGCACCTGTGTATTCTGACTGGATTTCTGATCGCAGTGACAGATATGAATTGGCATTCGTCGTCATGAGCACCAAGTGTAACAAATCAATAATCCCGTTTCCCATCAGAGCCTTTCGCTGCCCCAACTAAAGATGTCGCCAAGACATTTTAACAGGATCGTCAATACCGCTCTATCCTGAGGCGAGGATGATGGCTAATCACGTTCAAAATATCTGGTGAAGGAAACGAAAATGTGGCAAAGCTTTGTTGGTAGGTCAGCACAGTTTACGTCCAAAAGCCAGTGTACGGGCCTACGTATTAGCCTATTTGAGGTATGGCCGACACAATTTCTGAGAGGGCGTTGTTTGGTTTGGGTAGGCCTATATACAAAAGACTTTACCCAAATCAAACCTCTTATTGTGTCTGCCATACCTCAGATAGGCTAATAGTACACTTTGAAGTGCCGCACATTGTCATGTGTGCATGTCACGTGCACACGGAAGTCCGTCAAATGAGGCCTCAAAGAAATTGGAAATTACAAGTACACTCAGGTATGGGTTGCTCTGCTTGGACAAAGTACCGTACGAGGGCGCTATTTGATTTTCGCAAACGGCGGGGAAAATACAATGTTCACATGCACGAACAAATCAGACAATAATTGGTTTTTTTTTGGAGGAGTGATCATGGAAGCGATATACCATTTGCAAAGGGAGGCATGATTTTCTAAACAACTGTCCAATAAAGTCAACTGAACTGTGTAACTTGATTAAAAAAAATTAGTCTGCAACTTGACTACAAAATCCATGTACGAATTCAAATAATCTACGCATTAACCGATCACTTTTTGAATTGGAGCATAGCCTGAAAAAGCGCCCGTTGCACGGAACATTGTACACGGAGGCACAGAATGGGACAACAAAGCATCGGTAATAATTTGCATGTAGCTCGCAGTGAATAATTTATCGACTATAATCTGTTGCCATGACACGATGAACAATATGGCTTCAAAATAAATGATTAAACACGCAGACCGTACACAAAGGGATTTGTAAAGGTTGGCCGACCCCCCCTCCTCCCCCCCCCCCCCCCCCGTGTAAAATGTCTGGCTACGCCTGTGACTTTTATGAAGAGTAGCCACACCGGAGCGAGATTTGAGATGCATGACGCCCTCAACGTTCGACGACTCTTTCTGAGTCTGTTACCTGCATGGTTTGATTGGTCAATGATATGGAAGCACTGATATTAGGGCGGCGCAATGCATGATTGGGTCTTTGATCCGAATTGCCAGCCAAATGGACGCGTTCGTGATAATGAGCAAGTGCACAGCATCGCACGATGCAGTGTTCAAGAGACTGGTAAATTAACAGCGGCAGTCACCAATCTGTGCATGGAGAGGTACGTCGCGTTTGCATCGAATTTTGGAGAATTTCTTCGGTGGTGGCCGGCAGAGTCAACTTATCAATACAACTGGTTTTCTCTTTGCCATGTACTGTGGAGTGACAACCGTGGTTCGCATGCTCGGGATCTGGCACCGATGAGCCGTAACTAGTGGACAATAGCGCAAGACGCACGAGGATCTAAAGTGTACAAGTACAACTCTTCCTTGGTGCAAGGGGAACCTGAGGAGTGCGAGCTTCAAAGGTCGATTCGTCTCCCCGCCTGCAGACGATCCACTAGATATTCCAGAATTAAAAATTGTCCTCATCTGTCGCAGCACCTTCCATGTAGATCAAGTACTCAAGAAAACAATACATGCGCCATCGCAAGTAGTACTTCCATCAACGTGAGATCCGTGAGTTGAACAACGAGCTTGTGGTTTTCAATGCAAACGTGAAAAGAATTTGCTTTCTGTTGCTACTTCAAGGCTGTTTCTCTGGCTACGGAAGAACCAAGGGAACAGTTCCCCCGATTGTAAGCATGGAAGCAAATAACACTACGGTATCGAACGTGACCATGGTGACTGATGAGGTGGAGATGTTTGTGGAGATGCATCCAGCCTGGATCGCTACCATGTGCGTCTTCTACATCGTGGTGGGATTCCTGGGCGTCTTTGGTAACTGCATCGCTCTGGTGGCCCTGGCAACGACTCCCAAGCTTCGTAACACCTGCACGGCACTCATCGGCAATCTGTGCGTGACGGACCTGATTACCAGTTTCCAGCTGCTGTTCATGATGACTCCAACCCAACTCCTCAAAGGTTTCCCCGAGAACTTGCTGCTGTGCGCGGTGGTCGTGTACCTGCCCACCACCACCTACAGCGTGTCGCTGACAACTCTCATGTTCATCGCCTTCAACAGGTACCTCCTGATCACCCGTCCGCGCACCTGCTACCGGGCCTGCTGTGGTAGCAAGCAGGTGGTGCTCATCATCGTTCTGATCTGGCTCATCAATTTCATGATTTTCATCCTGCCAGCTATCACCGGTACACGAGAGGTGATTTACGACCGCGAAGAACAGGGCTGCAAAACCGAGACAAACTGGTTGGTTGGCACAATCATGTTTTCCTTTTACGTCGTTGTTCCCGCGTTCGTGGTCGTACCACTGCTGTACGGGTTGACCATCTGCGCGGTGAAGGCCAGCCACCAGCGGGTGCACGCCCGTGGTACCACCGGTGCTGTGTGCGAGCAGCCCTCGGCGCTCCCGCCTGGACATGACGGGGATGCCAGCGTGGTCTCCACCGTGTCCAACTCCGTGAAGAACAACAATCAGGACGACAACCCGGCGAGGCATCCCCGTTTCATTAGCAAGCGAGATATCAACCTGACCCGGCTCCCCATCCTGATTTTCATTGTCTTCGCCGTGTGTTGGACGCCGCAGCTCATTAACCACATCTGCAGTCGCTTCATGAAAGTATCCGTCTATTACCGTAAGGTTGCCACGCTCTTCATATGGGCCAACTCCGCCATCAATCCGTACCTGTACGCGTGGTCCAACCGAAATTTCAGACAAGCTTACCAGAGGATTCTGAAGAACTTGAAGGAGTGAAGTCCAACTGTAAGGCTAGACTCTAAACCAAATTACAAGGCTATAGACTCTAAACAAATTTGTAGGCTAGGCTCTAAATCATTTTGGCTAATAGATGAAATGAGAAAAAGTCTGTTTTGGAATCAGATGAGCCAGTTTTCTAAATTAGTTAAAGGGATAATGTATTTTTTTATGCAGTCCTTGTAAATGCACCTTTGTGTCTCATTTAACCTTATTTTCATTTTTATGTTGCCATTTTAAGGGCATTTTGGTGCCTTTTTGGTTTTTATGCTAATGCAAATTTGCATATTCATGACCGGAAGTGTGAAGTCATTTTAGGCAGAAACCTCTATTTCAGCGCCAAAATTCGCCAGAATTTTGGATATTTTCTTTTCTTTGGCGATTCGTTGATGTGTCAGTACATGGCAGTATTAGAGCCAGTGAGCAAAATTTTATTTCAAATGGTTTCATTGAGCTAATTTGGGATTCACAATTTGAACAGAAAACCCAATAATCTGAACAGTGTCCTCCTAAAATGACATCACAGCAACAGCACCCTCTTTTGTAAGGAAAAGCATGGACAATTGTAAATGTTTATAAAAGTTAACTTTTCAATAAAGTTAACCAAAAGGGGATGTCCAATAGTTTTCATAGCTTTAAGAGGAGTAGAAAGTTGCACAAAATATGTTCCCATGTACAATCATGTCATGAGCCCTAATGTAAACTTTGGTGTAACGCACAAGTGACCAGGAAACAGACTTGAGTTTACCAGGCTTCAAGAAGCCTCTTCGCGACATAAGCAGGTGAAGCGCTGTAAATCATACCGGTACTGAACGGAACTTCATTTGTCCGTTCATGGTCGTTACTTGCTTGAAACAGTGGCTTGCATGTACTTTCAGTATTTCTGAAATAACGAGGTAAGGGGCTATTTAAAACGTATATGTGAAGAAAAAAAACAACCACAGGATGAACTCAAAAATGCTACTATGTTCTGTATCGATTCGAACTTACCTTAAAATGGTTAAAGAAGGATATTAATGGCTAGAATTATACAGACCATACACGACTGTTTTTTTTTCTCACAAAGGATTTCATTACGGGCAGCTGATAAAACAACTTGGGAAATGAAAGCAAAACCGTATTTCGATTGTACAGGGTGAGTAAAAAAAAACACGAAACCCAAATGTCGGGACCATTGTTTTATTGAACTTCTGCATGTAGCACTTTTAAAATCTAGGATATGAAAGCCCAATTCATAAGCTTTTTTAGTACAAGAATCATTCAAATCACTTACGTACTTTTCAAGTTACGGAATTTTAAACACAACCACCGTTTTAAAGTTCTGTCCACGGATCACACAAATGGTGTGCGTTCTTTCAGCAAACCGAAAACAATTCACACACATCCCTAAGCGATTTGTTTTCGTTTTGCTGAAAGAAGACCTACCTTTTGTGATCAGTGGACAGGACTTTAAAACGGTGGTTGTGTTTAAAAGTCCGTAATTTGAAAAGTACATAAGTGATTTGAATGATTCTTGTACTAAAAGAAAGCTCATGAATTAAGCTTTTATATTCTAGATTTTGAAAGTGCTACATGCAGAACTTCACTAAAACAATGGTCCCGACATTTGGGTTTCGGGGTTTGTTTTTACTCACCCTGTATATGATGATTCTTCATTCATCATTATACACATTATTAAAAATTATATCAAGGCTAAATTCACACTCTTGTAAATAATGCAGTATCGGACTATACGTCCGTGCATTTGTTTCAGCAAATTGACAGTTTGGTTATACTATTTCCAGACATATCTGATGTGATTATTGTGCGCAATTTTCTACACATTGAAATGATATGATGATGTTTTTTTTCAATAGACATATTGTCATGCGTGGTGGATACTGAAACCGAAGGTCTTGCTTTCAAAGCAGCGCGATTGGATGTGCAATTATTGCTCATGTGGAACAAATGAATGTCAGAAATGGCATTGAAGCGTCATTTTGGCGCTCACAGACATCATGTCATGATATATTGAAGTGCTTGTACTACGTAATTGAAGGTTGCAAAACACGTATGCGATGTCTGACATATGCAATTATTACATACTAAACATATTGATAAAATGGCAGCTAAGTTGTTTACACAATGTCTGGTTGCACCAAAGCGAGTTAAAAGTAAAAAAGATGTCAAGTGACTTCAAATTTGAGCTTACAAAACTTCACGATAGAAGTATGTCACTTAAAATGTCGGACACATATTGTCTTCTGTTTATCAATAGCTAACAGTTTATGAAACAGCTATGAAAAAAAGGTCTGATAACATTTTCTTAAAATAGAATTTGGTGTCGGTGAGATGTTTATATAATATTGTGTTCTGTCCTTGACCGTCCAAGCTTTATAAGCACTATACTCAGTGACATTTGTCGGAAACAAAAATCACAATCTTACTCGGGTGGGACTCGAACCCACGACAAATAGTTATATAACCTACTGTTAAACAAGATATAACGGAATGACAGACGTAGAATGTTTAACCAAAATAGATAATATAGGTATGGTTTGAAAGATACGCCTTTCCACTTTAAAATGAGACATCAAACACTTTCTTGCTATCACCTCATGCTAAAAATGTTTAGCATGTAAACATGTTTAAAAACTGATAGCAAGAAAGTGTTTAGAATTGTGTTTACTCGCTAAACACATTTTTTGTAGGCCAGGCAAATATCCACTCAGAGGCAATTATAGGCTACCTTCATTCCAATGCCTAAATTCGAAAACTTGGTCCCGTGGTCAATTTGACCTCTCTTTGAAAATTACTCATAACTCTGTCAAACATTATCAGATTTGGACGTTTGATGTCTCATTTTAAAGTGAAAAGGCGTATCTTTCAAACCATATCTATATTATTTAAGTTGATTACGTCAAGTATTCTGTTACAATTTTATTGAAAGTGAATATACAACATTTGATTTTGCTGTAATTTTCATATTATGGATGTATTTGGAGAGAATTATTTTATTAGCAAATGTTGATACACTGACCTTTTATCAGAATATGTGTTTATGCATGTTGGGAAAACCAAGATCAGAAGTGCTGTTCTTGTATTCTGGTCCCTGACCCTGCGGAGCAGTCTATAGATTGACTGGTCAGGGAACCTTACTAGATGGCTTGCACTTGTTTACGCACGTGCAACTACTGCAAACAACATTTTGACTGACTAAATTTGGAAAATATGGGGCTGTATTTAAAAAAAAAAGCATTTTATTCTAACGATGGTCAGCCGACCATCGTTGGAAATTGATACAAAAATTCCACTTTTCTTGAAAATGACAGCACACCAGGTGCCATGGTTTTGTGGGATGCTTGAGACTAGTATTCACGAATAGTCTAGGTAAGGCAACTAATTTAGTAGCTTTGTTTTTGATGTTTGCAAATGTTTTATAGTGCCTTTAAATTTTTAGTAATACTTACCCAAGTCGACTGAGAAATAATATGTATTTATAGATGCAGCAGCTGATGATAATTAGATGCCGCCATAAGCTCTGAGTTGAAGAGGCTGTTTCTTCCAAAGAGATTAATGTGCCGCAGTATTGCCTCTTCATATTCATTTGCAAATCCACCAAATTTGTTCAACCTCGTGCAGATTGATTTCCCAATTTTGAATCCCCCAGTGGCAGACTCGCCCGCAAACGAGATATTGAACGCTCGGGCTTTTATATGAACTCCCGCCTATACCAATAGACTATCATATATTACAGATATAGATGAGCCGGGATCCCAGGGCGATGTCGTTGGCGTCAAAGCGGAATAATAGTGATATATGGCAGTAATTGCCCAGGGTATATGGTTTAATGTATGGCCCATGGACTGAGGTATATAGCGTCCATTCTGGTAACTTGTTTTTAGTTAATGGATTTACCCGATGGGCCCGTAGACGTTGCTGGGATAAAGCAAAGAAGACCCATCATCCCCTCAGCATAATGCTCGACCAAGTTCCGCATGTGGGAAACAAATGGGGCTATATAACATCAGAGAGTGCGTCACGTGACGAATACACGCGCGGATGTGCCGCCAGACGAAATTTATATAGTCGATATTCCTGAATGTATCTGTGCTTGGAATGAAAAAAAAAACACCAAAGAGATGTGTATAAAGTATTATTTGCTGCACAATTATAAAAGGCTTTTTTTCCCATACTGATTTTGGTCAATGACATTTTCTGGTCACCTGTATGAACAATATAGTTTTCTCCACATAGGGGCCTAGTTGTTTGAAATTATTAATTGAAGTTCCGCCGACTGAGCTACATTTTTTATTATTGCAAGCAGTGTATGAATCCCCAACATTACTGGCACAAAAAATTTGATTTCCCTTCTTTAATTTGTGTCAATGATGAGTTTGTTTTTAATATCAAAGTAGTCCTAACTAATAAACAAACAAAAAAATAACTCTTTATGGAGCATGCTTAAAACAAAAATGCCCATGTCTATCGGGTTGATGAACCGACTGACTCCCCATTCAATTAATATAGGTTTTCCAAATTATTTTAACACTTATATTATAGAAATTCCTGCAAAAGTAATTTATGTTTTGTTGTTCTTGGTAATATTTGCACTTTTCTTTTGGTGACTGCCCTCTGAGTTAAGCACACCTACTTGGTCTGTCACATCATGCGGACGAATATGCCGAGTTGTGTTCGAGGACACGAACACATTTTTTAGCACAAACCAGACTCATTTAATTATCACAAGGTTCAAATATATTGCTGTAAGACGAATTCGATATTGAATGCTGTCATTCGGCAACGAATATTCTTGTTCCGACTTTTGTAATTGAATGAAACATGACCACATTGATTTTACTAAAAGCATGTGAATTTCATCTCAGACGAAATACAATTTTCGAATTGGCGAATTTGAGTGAAGAAACGTTTTAAAACAAAGTTTCTGGTCAGGACTTCATTAAGATATATAGGAGACCGTGGGCCTTAAGATTAAGGGAATGTAGGAGGCCAGCATCAACTTCATGTAATTGAACATTGGAACTTACTTTCACTTCCATAACACTTGGTATGGAAAACTTGTGAAGATTTTGCAGTCATGATATTTACGGTCCGAAATTCTAAAAGGTAGTTTCCGATATTTGGGTATCACCTTTTGGTTTTATCTTCGTTCTTCGTACCTTGTTAGTGTTGGTTTTTTTGTTGGGGGGGGGGGGAG